CCTACTAGGCATCACCTAAACTCACAGCTGGAAAATACTTTCTGTGAGATGAGTGTCCACAAAAAAGACTCAGAAGGATGGAAAAGGTGTAAGAGGAGGAAAAAAATCACTCCAATCAGGGTCAAGGCAATGTCACATAGAACAGATTTCATGGTCCAACTATGTCATCACTATGAATAATCACTAGAACTTTGATTGATTAAATTAGGATTTTAAATTCTCCAAGTGGCATTTAATTGCTCCTGATGCTGTGGGTACGTTGGAGCTTCTGTGGGTATATAACAGCCATAATAAAGGCTTAATTGAATGCCTACTAATCCTCAACAGCATCTTGAAGGTTAGCTATCATTATCCTGAATTTGATAGAATGGTCTTGCAGGAGGCTGTCAAAGTCACCCAGTTATTAAGCAGAAGAGTCTGAATTGGAACCCAGGCTTCTCTTCCTCCGTTCTCTCAGCTGTATCTCCCTCCTCTTAGGCTGACATACTTACATCCCAAATCTCCCTTAGCAATACTTTCCAACAGTGAAAGGTCTCGGAATGCTGGAATGCTGTAGCTTGTTTCCGGGGAAGAACAGCGCTCCTTAGAGCAAACTCCTCCCAGCAGCTTTCCTTTTCTGAAGAGCATTTTGATGATTCCCTGTTCAGAGCTCATACATCTGTCAAAAGATACCATGCAATTACCCCTAGGGATAGCTAGCATTCGCCCACCTTTCTCTGAAATTGAAATGCAGGAGCTCCCTCGGTGCTGGTCCGTTAGATCGGTGGCTGTCACTGATAAAGTGTCTCCTTGGAATTGCATAGACAAAGCTCCAGGGCTGCCAATGGGCCTGCTCCCAGCTCCTGTGGATACAGCATGCCTGGTGGTGATAGGCAAGTTTCTGAGTTGTTTTTATTTTGCATAATGTCCCTGAGAACTTAGATGATGCAAGAGGAAATGCCTTCCTTAAGTCACAGACTCTAAAGTGAGGCAGCCAAACATCGCCCATGTGGCAGTCAGAGTCCTTCAGTCAGAGACACAAAGGGACTTTTGGAAGTCAGCAAGGGACATCACAGTTTGTCTTGCCAAGAATTACCATTTAGTCATGCCCCCCACTACACTCCAGCAAGCTCCTCTCCTTTGTAATCTCTGGAGTCACCTACTAGTTTTGGGGGTGCCTACCTGAGATGAAGCTGCAGTTGCCCAACTGTCCTGGTAATTAGATGCATGAGTCTCTACACTTGTGGACTACTCCAGCCCATTTTCAGGACCTAACATTGCCAGTTGCCCATTTTATCCATTACTAACCCAATTTATCTCACGTCACACAAATCAAACTGTATTCTATGCACCTGGAATCCCTGTGTACACTTCTCTCTACTGGTTTCATAAGTACTTGTGCTAGATATCCTCCTGGATGAACTGTCGTGGGCTGTGCTAATAAATCCCTTGCCCTCTGATGTATTGTTGGGTTTGGCCCAGGGGAACCCAGAAGAGTTTGGGGAAGCATGAGTTAGAGACTGATGCCCAGGCTTCCCAATAACCACAGCTCCTCTCTGTCTTCCCTAGGACTCACTCTTAATTCCTTCCTATTCCCTCCCTCCTCTTTTAGGCCTCAGGTTAGCAATGACTCACCATGATGGCTAGCTCTGGCTTGTTTCATCTGTTACTTATTTAACCCTAATCATTCTTTATAAGTAACCTCTCCTGTAAATTCTCCAAGTTACCTTGTTGTAAGTACCTTATTTTCCTACAAGGGTTGATACATCATCCTCCAGACCAAACTTGCTCTTAAAATTAGCTACCATTCATACAATATATTTATCCATCTTGTATTTGGTGCTGCGTTGTAGGCATTGGTGACAGAGTGGGTATCAAAATAGAGGATCTGACTCAGGGGAGCTTAAAGTAGCTCATGGAGAAGGTGTAAATACAGTTATAAGAAAGAGTGGGTGTGATGAGGATGACAATGAGGACAGCACCCAGCACAGGGACCCCATCATCCAGTGATATCCTAGCTGCTGGGATAACTCACAAGCACATCCTCCCCTACTGGAGAATAACTTTGGGGATGTTAGAAATTAAGTTCCTCTTACGTTTATATCAGTCTTTAGCTTTAGCCTACTGCCTAGAACAGTATGGGGATGCAAACATTTCTTCCGTTAATTTGGACCGAACTTTCAGAACATTGATCAGCCTCAACCCCAGCCTGCTCACTCCCTACAGGTTTTATGTTATCAGGCTGGAGGATGGTAAGACTGCAGGCTTTCTGAGCTCCTAGGAGAACAGATAGCATGCTTTACTGGTCCAGAGAGAAAGTCACTGCACGGAAAAGAACATCACTTGCTCAGTGAAGAGTTTGGTAGCTACTGTCAGTTAGCACACGTTGATACTTGTCAGTAAGCATAGGAGCCATTCATGGTTGGCATATGGATGAGTTCTTTCTTTGTTTCTCTTTCCTCACAAGCCTTCATTGCATTTACTAGAGCCATGGCTAAATTTGGTATGGGAAACCTCAGCTTCATTTCAGAGCAAGGGGCTTAGGAAAATAGGTAGAATATACCTTTCATTGAAATTTTTAAAACTTAGACCCTCATGAAGAAAATCAGTCCTAGGCAATGGAGGCCTCAGGTACAGTTGTAACAGCCAACTTACGGGCAGGAAGCAGAAGGGTGCTGTCATTGTGGTTATCCTAAGTTCATAATCGTTTCTTTTCTCCACAAAGTGATTGGTTAAAACAATCATTATGTGAAGGTCGTATAAGGAAATTTATACCAGTAAGAAACACAGAGTGAGACTCAGCAATGGTAAGATGGTACCCAGCCTTTACCTGCCCATCCCTTAGAGTGTGGGTTCTCAGGGCCAGTGTGAGACATTTAATTATCAGGAACTTGCATAACATAAGGCACTAACTTTATTGTCATTCAATAAATATGTGACTGAACAGAAATAAAGTAATTAGTTTTTAGACTAGAGAGTGGGTGGGGCAGTAGAAGAGGGAACAAGAGGAGGGAAGAAAATTAACCCCAAAAGGGACAAGTAAGAAAGTGAGAGAGAGAAAGAAACGTAGGAAGCACAAGGAACAGATAGCTAAAATTCAGGTGGTATAAGCAAATGGAATGGGAAACTAACCAAGGACTGTATAAATGGATTGTGACCTCCTGCTAAAACTCAAATATTGCCAGGCTAGATTCTGAAAACTTTCATTAGAGAAAACACTAAGAATGTAAGGACAGGGGATGTAAAATGATGGGGAAAGGCAGGCAGTGTAGTGTTCTGCATAAAGACGAAGCTGGGTCACCTTAAATATAGGAGAGGGGGTATGGGAGAAATGCAAATCCTAACTCAGTAACCATGAAAAACATTGGATTATTACTTAACATTTTTCTTATAAAGAAAATATAAAGACTTGCATATTGCTACACATGAAAAGCACAACCACAAATCAATAAAAGTTCAATCTACCAGAAAGATAGAATTCTGAATTTATGTATTCCTCAAAGCTTAACTTTGAAATATATAAAAAAAGACATTTCCAAAACTATGGAATAGCTATGAAATAGGAAACACATTAAAAATCATAAATGGACATTTTTTGTCTATAACTCCCCAGATGCATAACAAGTCAATAAAGAGTTAAAATTTTGAAGAACACAGTTAATGCACCAGACCCAGGGACATGCCCAGCAGACTGGACATGCATCCTTTATAAGCAGTGCACATGGACTATTTATGAAAGTAGACCTGGTAGTAGGCCATGAAGCAAATCACAACAAAATTCAAAGAATTTATACCATATAGCCCACATTATAAGATAGCTATATTAGAAACTAATTGTAAAATTATACAAGGAAACACATTTTTTTAGAAATTAAGAATATTCACTAAAAAACATAAGTTGATCAACCTAGAAATTAATAAGCATTTAAACCTGAGCAGTCATGAACACTCTAATCAGAATTGGTTAGAAAGCAAAGATTATGGTCTTGGTGAGTATACCAGAGTAAAAGGAAATTTGCAAAGTAATAAACCAAAAGCATTTAACTCAAGTAAGAAAACAAACCAAAGAAAGAAGGGAAACCAAAAAAGCTAAGAGCAAAATCCAGTGAAACAAAAAGTACTACCTAATAGAAAGTATCCCCAAAGCTCCAACTCGTCTCTCTTTTTCTTTGAAAGACAACAAAAATGACGAATTGCTGGAAAGAGAAGAGACATTGATAAGCTACATCAGATGCAAAAAGAAAAGAGATCTCACTGTAGAATGGATGACATTATCAAAAGTAAAAAGACGGTGTGTGTGTGTGTGTGTGTGTGTGTGTGTGTGTGTGTGTGTGTCTATGAAGCTACAGAAAAAAAACAAAATGTGATCAGTACATGAGCAAAACAGGTCTGTGACTCCTCAGGGAGTAGAACAGAGAGCTACAATGAGAAGAAGGGTGAAAACATGGCCTCCCTCCTTGAGTACTAGAAAGTCCTTTCTTGGGCTGAATGATAGGCATGTCCTCTTTATAACCTCACCTTAGTCTTGCATACATAGGCTCTCTGCAGTCTTCTCTGTATGTCATACATTGCACAATAAAACAATCAGTCCGACTTGCAGATGCTTTGGAGCTGCAACTAGACCTCCACAAGACCGTCCAAGTAGGGGTCAAACAAGTGAATTAGATAGGATTTTTCTCCAGACTTTGATTTGAGGCTGAAACCGGGGTTTTTTGTTCCTTGCAGCTCTAATTTCTCATCTACTCTTAATGTAGTGTTAGCTCCCTGTTCCCAAGTCATTTGTCAGAAAAGTTAAGGGATTCCTAGAACTCTCCCACAATCTGACACATAAATCTTAGTGGTCAGAGTAATGTGATGTAGCTATTTCTTCCTTCAAGATAGCCTTGGGGAGCAATTACTTTGCCACTTCAGTTAGCAGGGGGAGTGGAGTAAAAGGATGTGAGGGCAGGAATGGTTTCTGAACAGCTACTCAGCAATGCTTGTCTAAATACCGCACTCAGAATTCTCCCTCTTCCCCCCAGGAGCCAGTCTGCGAGATGACTTATACAAATATTTCTCCTTCCATCATTCCCACGGAGACACCATGACTGTCATGGATCCAAAGCAGATGAACGTTGCTGCTGCTGTCTGGGCTGTTGTAGCTTACGTTGTTGCAGACATGGAGGAGATGCTGCCCAGGTCCTGAGGAGAACAAGAAGAAAGGCCCTTGTCCTCGTTAGTTGGGGATCCTGGCTTTGTGTCTTCAAGATACCTATCTTCACAAAACAATGTTATACACTTAATCCACAGGGCACAGCTTTCTCCATCCCTTCTGTTAATCACCTTTTCTTGATTCTTTCTTACCTGTTTCTAGAATAAGGCATGATCCTCACTACTCACAGATTCAACACACTGTGGGGAATCACAATTAAGTCATTTATTTATACCACTTTGAAAATAAACAAATCTGTTTAAAGCCTCTGATTTTGCATATTCATTTATAAACATTAAATTAAATGTAATGAGACCAATTTTGTGGTTTAGATTATGGCAAAGAGTAAGAGAATTACAGAATCTTAATATTTGAATTGACTACATGAAGAGATTTGACTGCCTAGTTTGTGCATTTTATATTGCACATTTTAGTGAAATATAGAAATTTCAAATTGGTTTAAAAAAAGAAAGAAATATATCTGCACTTAGAAAACAACTCTGTATACTCTAGGACCTTCTAAAGATGGGCACAGGAAGCTGTCACTGAATAAATGATATTGCCGTTTAACATGTATGTTTTGTATCCTTCAGTTTCTCAGAAGACATGTTTCACAGTCAGTTTACTGAGGTTGAGCTCCAGATAGACCAAATAACATTCACAAAATTCCCAGAGGAAAAACTCATTCTCAGCTGCTCTGTAGACAATGCTGCTGTTCTTCATCATACAATATCTAGTATTGAAGTATTCACTAAAGAATTACAAAACACAGCAGGGTACAATAGTGCACACTGAAAATTCTAACATATGAGAGGGTAAGGTAGGAGTATCAAGAGTTCGAGACCAACCTGGATCTCATCAAAACACCTGTCTCAAAATCAAATAGGAGAAAGAAAGGGAAAAAACAACAACAACAGCAAAAAACAACTTACCAAGCACACAAAAAACTTACTATCAACAATAAACTGGAGAGTTTAACATATAATCAATATGTTGAGAATTAAAAGAGATAGAACACACATAGAACAGAAGTGAATTTCACCAGAAGGATAGAATAGAAAGGAAAGTATTAAAATTAAAAAACATACAATGTCAGAGGTTTTTGGCTTTTGTGGATTTTTGTTGTTGTTTTTTGTTTGTTTTCCCTAAACACAGTCATTGCTCAACAGCAGACAGACTGAACAAGGCCAGGGAAAGTATCAATGAACTTAAATATAGATCAATAAGGATGACTTAAACTGAAAAAGTAAAATAGTAAAGACAAACAAATCACAGAATGGAACATCTAAGAACTGTGGCATCGTCTCAAAAGGTTTACTAGCCTGTAATGTAACTAAACTGTCAGAAGGAGAAGTAAAGCATCCTCTTATTAATAGTCATAAAGGGTTGAAAGACTGAAGGGCAGAGTAGCTTTCCCTCTGGGCAAGAGAGCAGACCGCTACTCTGACTCACTTTTATCCTGAAGATTTTAAATGCTATATCCATATGGAAAAGTAGAGTGTCTGAGTTCAGAGTGGGTTTTTTCTCATCTTAGGTGGTCTTCCAATGCAGAGTTAGAGTGCCATAGTCTCGTGGTCGTACTAACGGTTCTACAGAGTCAGTGTCTCTGAGTTCTTTTCCTTGAGTTCAGAAAGCAAAATCCATGGACGAGGAGAGGCTGAGTTTAGAAAAGAGCTTGTTACACATCCATAGGGTCCTTCAAAGGGAAGGTAGAGCCCCTGGACAGTTTCAGAAATACCACTAAGCAGCAAGTCTGGGACTGATTTATCACAAAAACTAAGATGGGGCAAAAGGAAGGATTGAACTGTTTAGTCCATTTGGCCCAACCACAAGGGCCAAATGTCCAACCACCTCTTCTCAGTTTCAACGTCTTCAAGTACAGATTCCAGGCAAGGTGCTTATTTAGGGACAGAAATATAACGAGAAAGCAAACCTTGCCCCCGGCATACATGGCCTCTGGACACAGCAGAACCAAAGACATTTTAGTTTAAATTTAAATGCTCTTGGCATCTCTGGCCTTCTGCAAGGATAGAACTGTGGACAGGGCCAGGGGCAGTTCTGGCTTTTAGCCAATGAAAAATTATTCACTCTCAGGGTCTTCTACCCTAAAACTCCTAGTGAATTTCTATTTCTTATTCTTAACAAAATTGCATTTGATGAGGATACTTTTTACAAATAATTTATTAAAACCATGAATGAGCTGACTAAAAAATAAAAGAATGGTCAGTGATAAGCACGCAGAGAAAAACCAGAAATAACAAACCAGAGTTCTGTAGAAATTCTGAAGAATGTAAACATTCTAAATCCCATTTTATACAGACATTCAGTAATCAGCAGACTAGAAACAAATCCATAAACCTACCCCATTACGGATACTATGGGATCATAGCACCACTAAGGCCCTGAAAAATAACACCTCAAAATAATGGTGAACTATGGGTGACTTTGGGCACTGCAAAGGAGAAAGCCTACAGCTAAAGTTATAAAAACATGAACACAGAGAACTATAATGTTCTGAGCAAGAGCAAGCCAAAGAGGTAACAGAATTAACCTATAGCATCATCTGGTCATTGAATATTTTAGGCTGAATATTTTACAACTCCAGGCCAGTTGTGTTTAAAGAAATGAGAATCTGAAAATTAAAAGCAAAAGAGTATTTTTAAAATGTACTTTTAAAAGAACCAAAAGGAAATTCTAAAACTAGAAACTTTAATAAGTAAAATCCAAAAAGTAGGAGTCAAATTTGCTAAAAGAATTTGTGAATTAAAATGAAATTCATTCATGAAAATTTATCATAGAGGAAAAGATGTAGAAGAACATGGGAGTGAGATGCTGAGAATGTAAAAAGATGGTTGTAGCATCCTGCATCTATTTGATCAGGGATCCAGTAAGAAAGAAAATGTGACAAAGATTTACCTAAAGAAAAACTGAATAAAATTAACAAATATTGAAATATACCAACACACAGAATCAATAAACCAACAAATCCCAGAAAAAAATAAACAAAAACATATAGAGAAATTACTGACCACAAAAGACAAAGAGATCTTGGAAGTAATAAGGAGAAATTATCACAAAAAGAGAAATAGATGTACAGCTAACTTCTCAAAACCAACAATGCAAGCCAGGTTACAGTTGGACAGTACCTTCAATACATGAGAACAGCTGTCCACTTAAAAATCCTATGCTTTTGCAAATGGATGGAAATAGAAAACACTATCCTGAGTGAGGTAAGCCAGACCCAAAAAGAGGAACATGGGATGTACTCACTCATATTTGGTTTCTAGCCATAAATAAAGGACATTGAGCCTATAATTCGTGATCCTAGAGAAGCTAAATAAGAAGGTGAACCCAAAGAAAAACATATAGGCATCCTCCTGAATATTAACCTTCATCAGGCGATGAAAGGAGACAGAGACAGAGACCCACCGGACTGAAATCTCAAGGTCCAAATCAGGAGCAGATGGAGAGAGAGCACGAGCAAGGAACTCAGGACCGCGAGGGGTGCACCCACACACTGAGACAATGGGGATGTTCTATCGGGAACTCACCAAGGCCAGCTGGCCTGGGTTTGAAAAAGCATGGGATAAAACCGGACTCGCTGAACATAGGGGACAATGAGGACTACTGAGAACTCAAGAACAATGGCAATGGGTTTTTGATCCTACTGCACATACTGGCTTTGTGGGAGCCTAGGCAGTTTGGATGCTCACCTTAGTAGACCTGGATGGAGGTGGGTGGTCCTTGGACTTCCCACAGGTCAGGGAACCCTGATTGCTCTTTGGGCTGATGAGGGAGGGGGACTTGATCGGGGGAGGGGGAGGGAAATGGGAAATGGGAGGCGGTGGCGGGGAGGAGGCAGAAATTTTTTTTTTTTTTTTTTTTTTTTTTGGTTTTTCGAGACAGGGTTTCTCTGTGGTTTTGGAGCCTGTCCTGGAACTAGCTCTTGTAGACCAGGCTGGTCTCGAACTCACAGAGATCCGCCTGCCTCTGCCTCCTAGAAATCTTTAATAAATAAATAAATAAATAAATAAATCCTATGCTTTTAGAAAATATTTTTCAAACACAAGACAAAATAGGACGTTTTTAAAGTAAAATCTGAGCCAGTTTACCGCAATAAGACTTTCCCCAAGAGCCTGAGTGTGAACAATGTCTAGGGTTCAAGAAGTGAGAAGGCAAGCTCCAGGCAAAAGACTTCGTGCTCCTTCTGGGTGATCAACCACTAAAGTTACATGAAGTCCACTGCAGCAAAGAGCCCCTGCAACAAAGTTCATGCAGCAAAGAACCCTGCACCAATGTCAATGCAAGTCCCTGTAGCAAAAGACCCTTCAGGAAAACCCATGTAGACCCCTGGAACAAGGAAGCCCTGAAGCAGAGACCCTTCAGCAAAGCTCATGCAGCAAAGAACCCCTTCAGCAAAACCCATGCAGGCTCCTGGAGCAAAGAACCCTTGCAGCAAAGCCCCTGCAGGTCCCTTCAGCAAAGAGCTCCTACATCAGAGAACCCCTGCAGCAAAGCCCATGCAAGCCACTGCAGCAAAGCCCATGCAGGCCTCTGGAACAAAGGCCTGATGGGTTCCGGGAAGGAGATGCAGACAAGGCTACAAGCAGCCTCTTGGGCTTGCTATGATTTTTGGCTAGCTCCCTTCTTATCCCTGTTCCTCCTGGAGCCTTCTTTCTCATGAGTAAGCTTCTTCCTCCACTTTTAGTCTCTTTTCCACTTCTAACTACTCTTCCCCAGTCTCTGCTTAACTAGAGGAGTCTAGAAGAGTCGTACCGTATGGACAGGGTGAATGAGTCCTGATCGGGTGATCTCCTGGAAAATATCTATGCCTGTATCAGTATTAGTAGCAGAGGTGTGAAGAAGAAAATGGCAGCTGGAAAGACAGAAAAGGACCTTCATATTTTTTCCCTCAGGACGGTATAGCTGCACACCCTATCTGCTAAGATCTTTCAATGAGACAGCCTTGAAGCCTCATATGTACTATTGAGTAGCTATAGTAATAGGAAGTTTAAAGTGAAATTCTCTTATTTTCCATAAATTGATACAGAAAGAGCTATTCATGTGCCCAGAGAGGGCCCATCATTTGAGTGGTGTTGCCTGTTCCTGCACACTCGACTGCTTCCCAATGTGACTTTAACATCAAGCTGTTTTTCTGATTCATTTGCATGCGTAGATTTAAGTGCAAAACTGAGAAAAGAAATCCAATTAAAAATTATATAGGAAAAGGACGAGTGCTCTAACAACAACAACAAAATAGGATTCAAGGAAAAGCAGGTTGATTGTTGATCTTGCCCTTGACCTTGTTAAGATAGATTTTTGCTGTGAGATAGTGTCTTCTGCACTTGACAAGAAAGCCGCATTCATGAAATCTCAGCAATATAGTTGGCTAAACAAGACCTGTATAATGATACCCGTTGGCATGCCAACGGAGAAGGGAGAAATCTCACAAGACCCCACCCCTAGATGAAGAGCTGCCAGCAATCAATAGCTTACCTAGAGAGAGGAAGTCAGTCTTCTCTAGGA